AAAGTTTTTTTTTTTTTTTAATAGTTAGATTAGTTAGAATAAAGGATCAGTTGAAAATAGACAAATGGGACTATGTCAAACTTAAAAACTTCTATGCATCAAAGAAAACAATCGACAGAATGAAAAAATAACCTATGGAGTGAGAGGAGATAATGGCAAATCATATCTCTGATAATGAGTTAATATCCAGAATATATAATGAACTTCTACAATACAATCACACAAAAAAAAACAAATAAGCCGATTAAAAAATGAACAAAGACTTGAATAGATATTTCTCTAAAGAAGATATTGATGGCCAATAAGCACATGAAAAGCTGCTCAACATCACTAATCATTAGGGAAATGCAAATCAAAACTACAATAAGATATCACCTCAAACTCATCAGGATGCCACTATCAAAAAACAGAAAATAATGAGTGTTGGCAAGGATGTGAAGAAGTTGGAATTTTTGTGCACTATTGGTGGGAATATACATGGTGCAATCATTATGGAAAAGAATATGGAGGCTTCACAAAACATTAATAATAGAATGACCATATGATCCAGCAATCCCATTTCTGAGAATATGTCCAAAATGATTCAAAAAAGAACCTTAAAGAGATATTTGTACATCCATGTTTATGGCAGCATTATTCACAACAGTCTTATTCACATAGGTGAAGTGGCCCAAATGTCCCTTAACAGATAAATGAATTTTTAAAATGTGGTATATGTGGAATATTATGCACCCTTAAAAAAGAAGAAAATCTCGTCCCGTGCTACAGCATGGCTGAACCTTGAAATATTATGCGAAGTGAAATAAGCCAGTTGCAAAAGGACAAATATCTGAAGTATCTAAAGTCAAATCTTAGAAATAGGAAGTAGAAAGGTAGTTGTCAATGGCTGGGGGAAAGGGTGAGGCAAAATTAGTCTTCAGTGGATATAGAGTTTCAGTGCTGCAAGATGAAAAAGTTCTACTAGAGATCTGTTGTACAACGATGTGAATATACTTAACACCACTGAACTGTACACTTAGAAATGGTTAAGATGGCAAATTTGATGTTATGTGTTATTTATCACAATAATAAAATAAAAAAGAGTAAGGGATCAGTTGTATACAAAAGTAACCCAAATTAATAATGGCTAATTAAGATAGAAGTGTATTTCTCCCTGACAGAGGCAAGTGGATTAGAGTGTGTATGGTGGTTCTGCTCCATGAGGTCCAGTCTCCTTCTACCTTGTTGCTTTACTATCATGTCTAGGTTGCTGCCCTCATGCACATGGCCCAAGGGGGCTTGCCACCATGTGTGCAGTCTCTCATTTTAAGACCCATCCTGGAAAAGGGCAGTCTCTCATTTTAAGACCCATCCTGGAAGTTCCACCTATCACTTTCCATCACCTCCCATGAGCCAGAACTTATTAACATGGCCACACCTAGCTGCAAGGTCAATTAAGAAAAATGACCTTTATTCTGGTTGATACACTAAAATTTGGAGGTTTCATTACTGTGGAACAATGTTTCTCAACCTTTTTCATTAGTGCCTCTTCTGAGATAGATTAAATTTAAATTAACTTAAATCTAAATTAAATTCAATTTCTCCCTAAAGAAAAAAATTAAATATAGTCATGTACTGCATAACGACTGGATATATGATGGTGTCCCATAAGATTATAATGGACCTGAAAAATTCCTATAGCCTAGTGATGTTGTAGCCATTGTAATGTCATAGTGTAAAGGTTGCAAAAATCAACAAGGCTGTGGTTGAGATGACAGAGAACTTTAACCTGGGTGTGGGTGAGAATGACATTGAGGAGTTCACAGAGGTGGTTTCTGAGGAATTGATTGATTAAGAGTTGTTGGGACTCTCACAGGAATGCATACCTGAAGAGGCAAAAGAAGAGAGAACTGCTGAAGAAGAAAAAGAAGACATTTCAAAGAAGAAGTGTTTAGAAGAAACTTTTGCAGAACTCAGCAAGCTCCTTAAAATGTCTGAAAACATAAATTTCAACACCAAAAGGCTTTCATTAATAATGAGCAAGGAAAGGGTGTCTAAGCTGTTGCTCCAACTTAATCAGTAACCAAGGGAATATAGTAAATTCCTAACCAAGACCTTCTGAAGGGCTAGCCACGTATACTTCCCAACAATTCCAATTAAAAAGATAAATGATTATAGAAGGCAGAGCCTATTCTTTCTACATCCCAATAAAAATGAGGCAATAATTGCTTCCAAGCTCCTTCCCATGGCTCCCAACTTCAGGTGCTTGACGACCCTATTTTACCTGCAAATTCTCTTCAACTCATGTAAAACTGTTAATCCTTGATCGTATGTAACTAAAATTGCTGATGCATAGCTATATTTTTCTTTGTCCTCCTGCCTACATGAGCATCCCCTCCCTTTCCTAAAATTGGAGTGCTGTTTTAAGACTTCTTGGAACTCTGCTCTCAGGCATGTCCTCAGATGGGCCCAAATAAAAACCTTTTCTTAAATCTACAAAAGTTCAGGTCTTCTTTTTGTTGACAAGAAGAATATTCATGGTGCATTATCATGGTGCATGGTGAAAAAAAGAAACAAACCAAGCAAGCCACCACAGCGGTATTTCTGAAAAGAGTGACATCTCCTCAAGAAGAGCCCCTGGCAGGTACTTCCAGCAAAAGACAATGTGTATGTTCGTGTCTTAGTTTTTAACAGAAAATTCTTTTAAGTAAAAAATATTTTAATAGAAAAAAGCTTATATAATAAGGATATAAAGAAAAATATTTTTGTACATTTGTACAATGTATTTGTAGTTTTAAGCTAAATGTTATTATGAGTTGAAATATTAAAAAAATTAAAAGATTTATAAAGTAAAAAAGTTGCAGTAAGTTAAGGTTAATTTATCATTGAAGAAATTTTTTTATGAATTTAGTGTAGCCTAAGTGTACAGTGTTTATAAAGTCTACGATAATGAACAGTGATGTCATAGGTCTTCACATTCACTCAGCCGAGTCACCCAGAACAACTTCCAGTCCTGCAAGCTCTACTCATGGTAACTTCTACACAGGTGTACCATTTTTATCTTTTATATTGTACCTTTTCTGTACCTTTACTATGTTTAGATACACACATACTGTTGTTTTACTGTTTCCTACAGTATTCAGTACAGTCACATGCTGTACAGGTTTGTAGCCTAGGAACAATAGGCTATACCATATACAGGCATCCTTTTATTGTGCTCTGCTTTACTGTGCTTCGTAGGTGTTGCAT